ACAACTTGTACAAGGAAAGGTCATGGAAGCTCCATAGACACATCCAAACTCCCTGAGGGACCAAATTGCTGGGTGGAGGACTATGTGGACCATGGTCTCAGGGAACATCTAGCTCAATAGGCATAACATAGCTTATAAAGAAAATGTTCTACATTCTACTTTGGCGATAGTGTCTGGGGTTTTAAAAGCCTGTGAGTGGCCATCTAAGATACTCCACTGGTCTCACCCCTTCGGGAGTAAGGGAGAATGAAGAAAAATTAAAGATACAAGGGAAAGATTAGTCCAAACGACTAATGGACCACTACTACCATGGCCTCCACCAGACTGCATCCAATACAACTAAATGGTGCCCGGCTACCACCAGTGACTGCTGACAGGGATCGCAATAGAGGGTCCCAGACAGAGCTGGAGAAAAATCTAGAACAAAATTCTAACTCACAAAAACAGACCAGACTTACTGGCCTGACAGAGACTGGAGAAACCCCAAGAGTATGGCCCTGGACAACCTTTAGCTCAGTAATGAAGTCACTCCTGACGTTCACCCTTCAGCCGAAGATTAGACAGCCCCATAAACAAAACAAGACCAACGGAGCACACCAGTCCAGGGGCAAGGACGAGAAGGCAGGGTGTGACAGGAAAGCTGGTAATGGGGAACCCAAGGTCGAGAAGGGAAAGTGTTGACATGTAATGGGGTTGGTAACCAATGTCATAAAACAATATGTTTACTAACTGTTTAATGAGAAGCCAGTTTGTTCTGTAAACCTTTATCTAAAATACAATAAAAGAAAATCTGGGCTATGAAACACTGAACTTATGAGAAAACATTCAATGCGTGTGCAGTCCATATTCATTTAACTAGAACTTAACATAGCATGTTAAAAGATTACTATAGATCAAAACCTATCACGATTAAATCTCCTCATTCTGAAAAGTACAAGAGACAAAGTCAAAGCTGTCCTATAAAATACAAAAAAAAAACAAAAAAATGCTAACACATAGACACGCTTTCTGTGCTTAAACGATCATTGCAGACTTAACAGCAACCTAAAAAATATCCAATCAAATATCTGTGAACAGGAAAAAATGCTTCATTAGAAATGTTTTAAAAGCATTTATGCTTTTAAATCTCCTTCTTAATTCTTAATACAGATGTACAGCACAATATAAGCCTAATTAAACAAATGAAAATTGGCTTTTAATTTAAAGACACTGTCTGTATAAAAAACACTAACACTTGGTTGTTGGTTTCAGGTATGAAATCAATTTAATAGCACAGTTAATTGGACACAGAATTCAATTCTATTAGTGAGTTTCTCAAAATATCCCAAACAGAGCCCATTATAGCTTCTGATCTAAAATTTGGATAGGAGCCTATTTTTAATACCACTATAAAATCTAAATCTGAAACAATTTTGAACAGCAAGAACAATAATTACATACCATGAACACAGGAAAGTAATAGCCTAGAAGAAGTAACATTTACCTTGTGCCAGGCCCTTGACCTAGCGCTTCCTACCACCATCTGGTGAAGTAAGCACTGTTATCATTCCCATTTTACAGATGGAACAACCGGGGCCCAGGGAGACTGAGCGACTCTCCATGGAGCCAGCTGGGCTCGAGCCTGTGTTTCCAAACACTCTGCTATCTTGTTTCTTAAACTGGAAGTTATTCCACAGCCAACAGAAATTACACTTCAGTACACACCTATTTCCTACAGGAGAGGGAAGTTCTCAAAAGAGATGGAAAAAATACTAGGTGTATCACATTTTAGTAAAAACAGGGTTTAATTTTTGAAACACAGAAAAAGGAGCTAAAGATTTAAAAATACACTGTAGCAATATTTGTACGTTTGCTTAGAATACCTAGAACGCAGTGACCGCACTCATGTCTGCTCAGAGGAGAAGCATTTACGGAAATCAACCTGTTCTAATTGATAAGTGAGTAACAGCATCTTGCTCAAATAATACAATCATACACATTTTAAAGTACCAGCAAACTTTCAAGTTTTATTGTATTCACTGCCTACATATGTACAAGCCAGAAGACCTTTTAAATGATTTCCAGCCAGGGGGGTGAGGTGGATATCAACGATCGTCTGACTACAAAACTGATTTCTACCATTCACTTTGTAGAGTTTATCTATTTACTGAAAGTCCATTCCAATCTTCTCTCATCCCGTCCTTGCGGTTGAAGTTCTCATAAAGTTCCTGACTTGGGTATCAAACTGATCCATGATACAAAAAGGGACATCTCTCAGAACTTTAGACCAAGCAAAGAGGGCCAATGAGAATAGCATGAAGTGGCGTCAGATGAAAGTTGAGATGTATGAAAGTTTCACACCAGTTCATCCAGGTAGTCCAGAGATCATTGTATATGCAAAAAACCAGGTCTCCAAGCAAAGCAGCAGCTATTATGCCTGAGTACTAATCGTTCTTTTCCCACTGGTGTTTATGGAATTTTCTGTATTGTTACTTTTTATAGAGTCTAACAAGTTTTTAATTCTTTCACTTGCAGGCTTTTTCCCTTTCTTCTTGGCAAGAGACCTACTATTTGATACAGATGGCAGCAACAGAGCCGCCAGCCCCCAGGGCTGATTACTTGATGGTGAAGGACGATCTTTATCTTCCTGTTGTAATATCCAGGCACTTTCTCTGGCCAGATCTACAAATTTTTGCATCTGGCTTTGATTTACATTTTTGCTGACGTTGAGAGAAGTTTCAAAAGGATTCTGAATGTGCAGAGGAGAAGAATCAGGCTTGTTCTGTTCCCTTCCCTATAGATGATTACAAAGAAGACAAAAAGGTATAAATACATGAAGGGCTTAAATCGAAGGGCAGTTTGGTTAACTTATTGACTTGTCTTGTCAAAAACACATAAAATACCAGCATTAACTTTACATAGGAAAGAATTTCTTTCCTAAAAGGATTGGGTAGTATGTGTATATGTGTGTATGTATGTGTGTGTATGTATGTATGTATGCGTGTATGTGTGTGCACGTGTGTATGTACGCGTGTGTGTGTATGTACGTGTGTATGTGTGTGTGTACATACGTGTGTATGGTGTGTATGTCTGTGTGTATGTCTGTGTGTGTGTGTGTGTGTGTGTACTTCTGGGGTTTTTTTTGGCACTGGAGAAAAATAAATGAGGTTTATGAGCTATGGATGGTGATATCACTGCACAGATCAGAGATGCCTGATAACCAATAAGAGTATTTTTAAATAATACTTTTTAACCTAACAGGATAGAGCTAGAAAGGAAAAAGAAAGGCAAAAAATATGAAGATACACCTTTATTTTTGAGCCTTGCTAAAAATATAGTTATTAACTAAAAGCCAGTAGAAAAAGAAGCACACAAAACTAGAATCCTTCAATACAGTAATTTATGTTTCCCAAGTATGCAATGAGAACAGAAGAGAAAGAATAAAAGGTTACCCATTATTCATTTTAAAACACTAAAAATTTTCTATTGCCTTCCTAAATATCCAACAATAAGGCTCTGCCAAATAAGGTAACACCTCATAGACATAAAACGAAAAGAAAGTATTAGCCCAAGAGACAGAAAGGGCCACATAAACCAGACTTCATCAGCCTGAGACCGGAAGAACTAGATGGTGCCCAGCTACTACCAATGACTGCCCTGACAGGGAACAAAACAGAGAGTCCCAGATGGAGCAGGAGAAAGGTGGGGTGCAGAACTCAAATTCTAGTAAAAAGAACAGACTTAATGGTCTGGCTGAGATTCGAGGAACCCCAGAAAGCATGGCCCCCAAATTCTCTATCAGCCCAGAACTAAAACAATTTCCAAAGCCAACTCTTCAGACAAAGATTGGACTGGACTGTGGGACATAAAATGATACTCATGAAGAGTGTGCTTCTTAGCTCAAGTAGATACATGAGACTAAATGGGCAGCTCCTGTCCAGAGGTGAGATGAGAGGGTTAGGAGCTGGCTGAACGGACACGGGAAATCCACGTAGAAAGGAGGAATGTGCTGTCACAGTCTAGACAGAGCAACTAGGGTCAACTAACAATGTATGTATAAATTTTTGTATGAGAGACTAACTTGAACTGTAAACTTTCACTTAAAGCACAATAAAAAAAATAATTGAAAGAAAGAAAACAAAAAGCTAAAGCTAGGAATCATATGAACAGCAGTGACCCCATCAAATCACATCACATACGAGTTATAACAAAACCAATGGCCAAGATTCCCCAGCACAAGCAGCACCTGCTTATTCCCTATCTTCTACCCTGTCCCTCTCAGCAGGGGCCTGGCCCGCCCGTCCTCTGCGGGCACTAAGCTACCAGTACAGAAAGCATAAAGGACTTTATATGTCTGCCGACCTTTTTTCTTCTGGATTGCATTCCAGAGCTTTCTGTGCCCTACCCCCACGCCCCCAACTTTTTAAAACAAAGTCTCCACCGGCAGGATAAGGGTTAGGGAACAATGAACAAGGAAGAATTGAAAAAACAGAGTAAAACTGACTATCTGGGTATGTGTTTTCTGAACCCAGTTTTATAAAGTTTGTAACCAAGTAACCAAATGATAAACAGAACCAACCTAAACAGAGTGCTATCACCAGTATCCCTCACTCGTAAACAAATCCTGCCCAGGGGTCTGCTGATTTTCTTTTTTAGAAAAACGATGATCATTTTAGCTATTCAAGTGAACCAAAATCATGAATTCACTTCCCCCAAATAAATTAAATCTTAAGGGCTCAAAATGAGAGAATCACTAAAATCTATCTTTGAGACTGTGTATCCAATTTCTTCCAAAGGAACACAAATCCAGTTTAAAAACAACTCTATGTAAAATTATGTTTTCCAGAAAACTTTTCAGAATACAGTCCACATTTTCAAGGACAGGGTATTAGCACTAAGAGATGACAGCAGTATCACGGCATAGTGAAAAGGGCATATGATCTAAAGTCGAAGGACCTGGCTTTTGCTCTTGGAAAAAAACTAGCTGACTAATCTTAGCAAAGTGTTGAAGCTCATCTAGGCATCTGTTCCCTTACTGACATCTATTACTGCAGAGCTTACATGAAACAGCACTTGTTAGCACGGTTTGAAATTAAGCTAATTAAGTATGAGTACAGTAGAAGACCGGATACGTAATAACCAAATGTAAAAGATATATTTACCTGTCTGATATTTATGGAATTTTTATTGAAGGCAAAATTTCCAAAATATTCAAAAAATTCCTTCAGTAGTAATTCTGCAAAGAAATAAAACAAAGAAAATAAGAGGAAATTTCGTTTCAATCCAGGAAAAAGAAAAGAAGAGAAAAATCACTTACCTAGTGTTTCTGTGTTTCCGGAAGGTTTAATTCTATTCAAGTCACTAGTAAATGTACAGTTGTGGCCTTCTATTACGCATTTATCTTCTGCAGCTTAAATAAACAGAAATGGAAAAATATTTCACAGTGTATTTTCAAGATACTCCCTACTTCAGAAAAGGAATCTAGGATTTAAAGCAATCAATGTTATAGATTAATGTGTGCTTATCAGTCAGTGTTCTATAGATTTATGGTTAGTAGGAAGTTAAAAGGAAGAAAGGCCTGGCAATCTACTTCCAAAAATCAGCCAATGAAAACCCTGATCACCACGGTCTGATCCAGTTGTGCATGGGGTCGCCAGGAGTTGGGGGCCGACTCCACAGCAGCAAATAACAGGATTTAAAAACCCCTTTTTAAAAAGGTTTGGGACTAGTTATAACACAGTGAAATTACCATTTACTTTACCACGCTAGCTTCACTGTCTATCAACAGCCCAATGATTCCTAATCTGTTTTCAGAGGTGATCAGCTTTCTAATCATCAGTGAAAACGTAGGCAGGTTTCACTTCTCACCAACTCAAATTATGGTACTATGTTTACTCCGTAATGCTTAATTTCCATCTCCCTTTCCATTCTTACCACTGCTTTAGGCATTTATTCAACCACTCATCCATGACACAAACCGACTGCCCTAAGAGTTCTGAAGAACTTCAGGTACTTTCTAAAATGCAGTACTCTAGAGGGACTGGGGGAGTCCCTGGGGGGTGCAAGCAGTTAAGCTCCTGACTACTAACCAGAAGGTTGGTGGTTCAAACCCACCCAGAGGCACCTCAGAAGAAAGGTCTGGCGATCTGCTTCCAAAGGGTCACAGCCATTGAAAACCATACAGAGCAGTTCTACTCTGCACACATTGGGTTGCCATGAGTCAGAACCGACTTGAAGGCAACTATTTTGCTTTTTTTTTTTTAAAGAGACTGGGATTCAGCACAATGAATTTAACAACACACTGGACTCAGGCACCTGCCTTTTCTAACATATCACTAGAGATAATCATTCACCGAATTCTTGATGATTATGGTCACCAAGAAATACCTCACCCACTCTTCCTCCCACTGTTTAACACCGTGGGTAACTCCGTCTCTTACTTAAAAAAATCTAATCAACAGCCACCCCACGTGCAAGCATCTCACAGCTCCAAGCTGGTGCTCCCCCTCTGCGTGCATCGTCCAGAAGCACTGACCTCCTGCATCTGGTGATCTGCACGCTCCCCACGCCCCTGGCCCAGCCTGGGACCACAAAGCCCACTGGCCTATTTGTTAACGCTGCTCCCACAGGCCAGCCCACCACCACAGTGGCTAGCATTTAACAGGTACATAATCAATAATTTTCTGAATGATTATTATTTGACTGTGAATGCTATCATCAGAGAGACGTTCGAAAGAGGAAAAACAGTCTCTATGAGTGTTGTTGTTCATTTAAAAATTAAGTGTTTTTAACAGAAAATATTAAAACTTAAGGGAAAAAAAATTATCCTTTAAGATAGGGTCATTTTTGTTTTTTCAAAATCGTGAAAGCATTCCGACCTAACAGCCAGCCAGTTGCCAGGTCTTTCCCTCTCTTCTCCTCTCTTTCCCTGTCTTTGTCTCCCAGTACTTGGTCCAGTTCCACAGCCACTAAGCACATACGGCTATTTAAAACTGAGGTGAAAACTTCAGTTCCTCAGTCACGCTGGCCATATTCCCAGTTCCTAACAGCAGTAGGTGGCTGACCGCCACCAGAGCGCACAGCACAGATACAGAACACTTCCATCATTGCACGAAGTTCCGCCTCAGAAAAACGATTCTACACCTACTGAGGCTTATGACACCCCGTTGGTCTGCTTAACCCCGTGGTGCTGGCCTTCTTTTTACAAATGGTGCAGGAAACACTGGTGAAAACTTCACAAGTAAACACAAACTCCCTCAGTTGCTGGAAAAATAGCCATGCCGGTACCTTCATCAACTCACAATCAAACTGCTGACTCAGCCTTCAGTAAGCACATGTGAACTTTAAAGCTACATAAACGATTAAGGTTACGGATTTACTCAATTTGCCTTCCTTTGGTACAGCAATGACTCCTTCCGTGTGACATACATGACAAATGAAATTCACTGAGTAACATAATTCCCACAGACTGCCAGACTGAAACCCTCCCACATTTTTCAGGGAACTCATGTACTATAACAATTTATAATTTTGCAGAGATCCATATTGGTATCAATAGATTACTAGGGACTGCAGTATAAACAATATGGGTTGTATGATCATTTAGGCTAATCCTTCTGGTCAGAAGACCAGAAATCAGCTGTGTTGGCCACATGCATTTTTAATGAATAACCCAAAGCTGACAGATGCCTGAATAAGGGACATGACAACATCAGTCAAGTTCACGTAAAGGCTTAGTATTTTGTCTTTTATTAAAAATATCTGGGTGGCACACACAGTTAAGCACTCAACTACTAGCAGAAAGGTTGATGGTTCCAACCTAACGAGCGGCACCTCAGATGACCGGCCTGGTGATCTGCTTCCGGAAGGTCCCAGCCTTGAAAACCCCACGGAGCAGGTCTACTCTGCACACGTGGGGTCGCCATGAGTCGGAATCGACTTGACAGCAGCTAACAACAACGTTTTGTTTTCTTATAAAAGAAGAGTTTGCTGGAATTAAACAGTTAAAACATTATAAAAGTATACTCAGCGTTATTATAATTATTACCACGTCTGAGCCTTCCAGCACACCATGGGTCAACAGTAATTAAACGGGAAAAGTCAATAGGTGGTTTTGCCCTACTGATTCACGCAGGCGAATTCACTGTTAATACTTGGGGGAGGGGGGTCGCTAGGCATGAAGCTTAGCCAAATTGCCATTTTGCTCCTTTCTAACCCACACAGAGTAAATTTCAAAAACGCAAATCTAAGCAAGTTCCCCTCATCTACTTGGATCAACCACGTGAAGAATCTGGGTTCCACATGGTTCTATTCAAGTGACTCAAAGCCGCTTTGTAACGGGTAGCTTGTCTCCTTCTCCAGAGGAACAATCCATAACTGGGCCCCTGCAGAGAAGGTGGCCCGGAGGAGACAACGCGGATACAGCCGGGCTGCGTGACTGGAGGGCCCACGGCTTAACCACCTCCCCTTCTCCTGTGCTGGGTCGGAGCTTCCCTCACAGAGCTGCCTCCAGGCTCCACTCCCACACCCGCAAGCCCTGCATTTACATCCCAGAGCCGGCTCTGCCCTCCAGGCCTGGGAGTCACACAGGCTCAGGGCTTCCTGTGAGGGCGCTGGGAGCCTGCTCTGCCCTCCGGGCCTGGGAGTCACACAGGCTCAGGGCTTCCTGTGAGGGCCCTGGGAGCCTGCTCTGCCCTCCAGGCCTGGGAGTCACACAGGCTCGGGGCTTCCTGAGGGCACTGGGAGCCTGCTCTGCCCTCCAGGCCTGGGAGTCACACAGGCTCGGGGCTTCCTGAGGGCCCTGGGAGCCTGCTCTGCCCTCCAGGCCTGGGAGTCACACAGGCTCAGGGCTTCCTGTGAGGGCGCTGG